GTGTATTGTGGATTTGTATTGGTTTATTTGGCTTAATTTATTTTTTACTTACTTTTATTAAAAAGGAAGCTGCTAAGCCTTTGTATATTGAAGAAGTAAAAAGCAACAAATCTGTTAATATGTTAACTAAACAAGCAAAGAAAGACAAAGGAGGTATGGGGTTGACAGCAACACTGAGAAGTTGTATTAACTCAAAGTTACTTACATCTTTGGCTATTCTTTGTTTCTCGTACAACTTTTCTTCGTTTATAAATCAAACTAACGCAGAGTGTTGTTACGAAGCTTATTACGATTTTCTTGTGATGAATCCGTCTCAAAATGTTAAAAACGTGGTTGTTGAAAAATCATTGCTTATCAATTCATTTCGATCAATGGTGTCTAATAGTATTTCACTTTGTGTAATATGGATTATGTTATCACCATTGTTTAATAGAATGTTTAATAAGTTGGGTGTACTTGGGTTTAGTATTTGTCAACCCATTTTTTCCGAATTAGCTGCAATTAGTATGTTGATATGGGCAACTAATAATTTAAATCAGATTGATGATGTAAAACCTGCATTTAATTTTAGTCTTCCATTTAGTTTTACTTCAAATATTCTCATGGAATGTAATTTTGCTGCTTTTTTTGATGCAGCTATCAAAATCACTAAGTTTGCTTTTTATGATTTTTATGTTGAGTATATTTATGCATCAATCGAAGTTTCTAAAAGAAGTAGATATAAAAATATTGTTAACAGTGTTTTTGGAAAAGGTGGACAAACATTGGGAGCTGTTGTGTTTTTATTGCTTGAAATGTGCGGAATGGGCAGTAAAACAAGACAAGTCTTACCAATAGTATTCGTTATGATTAGCATTATCTCAATTATTGCAATATTCTGTTGTTTTTACTTAAACAAAATTTATAAAGAGGCTGATAAGAATAACAAATTTATTACTGATGATCCATTCTTTAATAAATCTCAGTAAATTCTAATTCAAAATTTTTTAATGTTTATAATGAAAAATTGTTTATTTCAATTAAAACTTAGTTGTTCAATTTGTAATATTGAATCTTTCATGGAAGTGCATTGGAGAAAGTTATTTGAGTCTGAATTTGAAAAAGAATACTTTATTGATTTAAAAAGAAAACTTCATAAGTGTAAATCAATATCACCTCCAATAGAATTTGTATTTAATTTTACAAACTTTATCTCATTTAATAACATCAAAGTTGTTATCATTGGACAGGATCCATATCACACTAAAAATGAGGCTAATGGAATAGCATTTTCATCAAACAGTGGTAAAATTCCATATTCACTTTCTACTATTTTTAGAGCTATTAAAAATGATTATCCTAGTAACGACACTTTAAGTACCAATTCAATATTTAGTTGGATGAATCAAGGTGTTCTATTATTAAACTCATCACTTACTGTAGAAACGGGGAAAGCTGGTTCACACACTCACTTAAACTGGAATAGTTTTATTAGTTCTATTTTGTTTAAACTTAAACAATCACCAAATATTGTCTATATGCTCT